CCGGGAGCACGCGGCAGCACTCTATAGGGAGCAAATGCAGGTCCTCGCCCACGTGGGGCCCGATGATGGGGCCTTCTGGAAAGAGAACAAGGCATCCATCACAGGATCGCAGGGGAGGCTCTGGGATAAGAGTGCTCTGCGTGGAGAATCTCAGGGAAGAGTGGGTGCCCCTACAGGGTGGTGCTGAAGGCCAGAGGGTTTCGTGGTTTCAGAAAGTGTGCGTGTTTATATATCCTTATGTATGTCTTTATGCGGATATACTTATGTATGTATATATGCATATGGATATATATTCTTATGTGTATATTCATCTCTACACATATTCTTATGTATTTCTATATAAACACATATACTGTGAATGTATTTGCATACATACACATATGTACTCATGTATATATTCATATAGATGTGTATGTATGCATATACACTTGTGTATGCATTTATGTGGTTGTTGTTTTTTTTTTCACACGAACACCTATATTCCGTCTTAAAGTAGAAGGTTCCATGAGGTCGTGTGCTGGAAGCTCCAGGCAGACCCTGGCCTGACAGGTGTTTCCTGTCAGTCCTCAGGGCATCCCTCCCAGCAGTGCTATGACCAGTGTTGCTCCGTTTCCCAGGCCGGGAAGCTGGGGTTCAGAGAGGTTAGTTTGGTCACACGATGTCACCTGGATGGAGGACGCAGGATGTGACCCATGGCACGCCAGAGCCCCAAGATGGAGAGGGACAGTTACGCTATTCAGGGAGCCCTGTCCAGGCTACCCTCCCACCCACCCCCTCCCGCTGCGCCGGTGCTCCCGCCGACTCTCAATTGTGAGGTCCACCCAGGGAGGTACTTCTTCCTGGCTGTCTCTTGAGGGTCTCACAGGGCATTTCCCGCTTATTTCCTGTCAATTAATGTTTGTGGAAGATGCAATCCCCACCACCCATTTCGGGCATCATTAAGCACGGCTCCAAAGTGGGGAAGCTGAGGCTTGAACTCATGTTGATCTGACTTCTGAGCCCCTAAGCTCAGCCCCTCCTCTCGGCCATTCATGAGCTTCAGAAGGAAGCTGTGTCATTTCTAGAAGGCCAAATCGCCCCTGATCCAGAGGCTCCTGGACCCCACAAGCTGGCTTTGACCCCACTCTTCCTCTAAACCCCACATCCAGTCTCTCGTCGAGCCCTGCCTTCCACATACACCCTGGTTCCCAGCACTGCTGTCCAGCTCTCCTACCACTGTGTGATCCAGGCCCTCCCCATTACTCCCGGGATTCCTGTGCTAGCGCTAACTAGCTCCCGGCCCCATCTTCCCATCCCTAATGCCCCCACCCCCCGCCACGGCAGCCTGTTCAAACTCCAGTCCACTCATCACTGCTGAAAAGTCTGCAGCGGCTTCCAGCTCCCTGGAGCCACAGATCCCAGCCTCCCCATGGCTGCCTCTATGACCTCTCCTCCTGGTGCTAGGTGGCTCTGCCCAAGGGACAGTGGCCTGCAATGGTCACATGCACGTATGGACATGCACATCATATGTGTGCGCACACACGTCCTCCATCTCTGTCCTTGCGCCCTGCTCACATTTATGATCACACAGCAAATACTTGTTTACATCTTTCCATCCATGCCTGAGGTCACAGCCCCTCCCAAGCCTGACGCAGGGCAGGCACTTAGCAAGTATTGGTGGGAGGGAAGCCCGAATAGGAGGTCAGGAAATATTTTTACACCTCCCTGAGTTCGAAGTGATCACAGTGTGTCATACCCAGAGAACTGATGCCCGACTTAGCCAGGGCTTCTGCTGGAATATTCAGGATAAATATTAGGATTAAGGGGAGGGGGCTATTTTCCAGGCTGGTGAAGCTCTTTCTCATCCCCATCAGGGTACTTGGATGCTGAGATCCTGAGGGTAGACGTCGGGGTGGGAAGGCAGTTCTGGGGGCCACTGCAGACCCTCTCAGAGAGGAAGCTCAACCCAGTGAAGTGCATTGGTGGGTGTGTGGGCACGGGGCACATTAGTGTGTGGGAGGCGGACTCTGCCATGGTAAGGAACAAGCCCCCGGCCGTGGCGGCCGAGCATAGAAATCACTGCTCACCGACAGTGCAAATGCATTTGGTGGCGGGCAGGGCTTCTCCACACACACAGCCACTCAGGGACCCCGGCTCCATCCACTGTGGGGCCTGCCGCGTGGCTTCCAAGGCCCCCGCAAAACAGAAGAAATGAGGCGGCTGCACGGGAGAGGTTTCTATCCCCGGCCTGCCGCCCGTGCCCTAACGGCCCCACCTAGACGCAGCGGGTTAGACCTGTATTTCTCCTACGGGCCGAGGAGAGAACTGGGATGGTCTGGGGAACATGGAGCGTGGTCTGTCACATCAGGGAGGGACCGGTCTCCGGGACACACAGATCCTGGGATCTGTAGCCAGGTTTCCTGTCTGAGCCTTGCCTGGGATGCAGGCTGAGGTCTTGTGGGTGCCCGTCATCTGTATGAAGTATCTGAAAGTCATGAAGGAAAGGAAACCTGGAGAAAGAGGCTGGAATATGTGTGTAGGCCCTGGAGGGGTTTCGGGGTGGGGCAGACAGCAAGAAAGACTGGAAACCAGAGAGGCAGCTGGTACCCGGTCCCCAGAAAGAGAAAGGGCCCCGTGGGGAAGCACCCCCCGCCCTGCCCCCTTCTCCCCAGACGCACTGCGGCTCAGAAGGGTGCTGCTCTGTTTGGCCCTTGAGCACCTGCACCTCGGGGGGGGGGTCTCGAAACAGCACCCAGGCGGGGCAGCTCTGGTCTGACCCCTAGCCTGCGCAGGGACAAGGGCACCACCCTCAGGTGGCTTCAGGTGCAAGCAGGAATGAGAAGACTGGACGCAAAGAATAAAGAGCTCGCCTGAGATGCCTTCCTGAGACTTCAAGAACAACCTTCAAAAGGAGAGTGCTGGGCCAAGACACGGCCATTGACACGGCCTTGCCGTATGCACGGGCTACTACTGACTCTGGTTACATGAGCCAGAGAGTAGGGAAGGCTCTGGTCCCTGCGCAAACCCTCAGGTGTTCACTACAGTCCTCTGGCCCATGTGTCCTGTGCCTGGGGCAGGTAGGATGGGGACAGGAGAGAATATGACTCCCAGTCGGCTCCCCATTAATCCCCAGCATTGGGGCACCTGCCCTGCTTTGTATTCATGCAGGGGCAGAGCCAGTCTTGAGCCCCAGCCTACCTGCCTGGAGCCCAACCATGCCTCTCTCCTGCCAGCCCCCTAAAGCTAGACCTGGTCCCCGCTTGTCACAATGGCTGGGTCCCACCACACCGCCTCCTCTGAAGTCACTGCTTAGCCATTGTGTCTGTCCCTTCCCTCGCGGTCCCTAGCAGGGAATGTAAGGAAGGGACAGGGAGCCAGACAGCTATGAGAAGCCCTTCATATCCCAGAAGGATCAGAATTTCCACAGCAAAAGAGATGCCTCTGTGTACAGCAGAGGGAAGCTGAATGGCCCTGGGCAATGGGAAAGGAATTCGTAATAAAGATGACAGTGATAATTAGCACCAACGCACGACGCACGGATGACTGCCAAGGGGCTGAGTGGCGCACTCTCCAAGGACTGCCTTCCTCCTCCCCACCCCCTGCATCCCAAACACAGCCAGCCAGCCCTCTCCAGACCCATACCATCAGGCCAAGCACCAGGGCCAGCTGTCTCCCAAATGCTAAGGCAAGAGTTGAGCTGAATCATTATGCTTCTTGATCTTAGGAGGATCGTGGATACCTTTAAGAATCTGACAAAGGCTGTGACTCCTTCCTGGTGGGAAAGCATATATGTAGCTCATCGCAAAGTCTACTACAATTTCAACAAATTCCCCCAGTCCTTAAAACCCACCTATGACCCCTTTAAGGGTCAATGAATTTTGTTTTAATTCAGTCATTCAGTGGAAATCTATTCAGTGTCCGCTAATAAGCGCCCCAGTGGGTGTTCTCATCCACAATACTACTTAGCCAGGATAGCCACAGAATCATCTACAAGCAGTGCATCTGGCTGAGCCTCGCCTCCTGGCACCCTAGTTCTCAGTGCTGGCTGCACGTTCAAACCACCTGGAGAGTGGTTTAAAATTCTGATGCCAAAGCCTCACCCAGATCAATTAACTCAGAACCTCTGGAAGTGGGACCCTAGGGATGCCTAGGGGTGCAGCCAGGGGAGAGGACCACTGCCCTAGAAAATCCAAACGTGTTTTTTAAAAAAATTCCCTAGGAGGGGCGCCTGGGTGGCTCAGTCATTAAGCATCTGCCTTCGGCTTAGGTCATGATCCCAGGGTCCTGGGGTCGAGCCCCGCATCGGGCTCCCTGCTCGGCGGGAAGCCTGCTTCTCCCTCTCCCACTCCCCCTGCTTGTGTTCCCTCTCTTGCTGTATCTCTCTCTGTCAAATAAATAAATAAAATATCTTTAAAAATAAATAAATAAAAAAGAAAAAGAAAAATTTCCCTAGGTGGTTGGGATGCACACCCTAGAGCAGTTAATTCATTCATACATTCAGCAAATGCCTAATGAGCATCTACTATGTCCCAGGCAGTATGCTAGGCGTGGGGGGCACAGCAGAGAATAAGAGATCAAAATCTCAGCCCTCGCAAAGATGATATTCTAGCAGAGGGGACAGGCACTCAGTAACCAACACATAAAAAGACTTGCAAATTGTGTTTCGTGCCACAAGGCCCATATACTAGGAAGTGACACGAAGACTAATAGAGGGACCTTCTTGTAGAAGCCAGGGACACTTCCTGGGGGCCACTGGAGCTGAAGCTTGAAGGCCAAGGGGCTGAGGGAAGAGCATTCCAGGTGGTGGGAACAGCCGGTGCAAAGGCTCTGCAGGGGGTCAGAGCTCAGAATAAGAAAACAGCCAGTGCGACGCCTCCTTGAAGTGAGGAAGGGGGAGGGTGTGACGTGGGACCAGGCTGAGAGAGAGGAGCCAGACCAGCCAGGCCCTTGGAGATCCAGCAAAGAATTTAGGATAAACTCCTGACTGTCATATTGTCCCCAGGCCCCCCAGTGGTCTCGGAATGGCACAAGTGTCTCAGAAGAAGTGCAACCCTAAAGGAATACAGCTCGGAAGGGGCTCGGCTGGGATGCGCACCCAGGTCTCCTGACATGGCAAAGCAGAGGCCACAGGCCCTGCAGGAAGTGTCCCCAGGAAAGTGGGTCTCCCCACTCTCTGGCCCTAAGCCCCTTTTCTGCCCATGCCCAGCCCCAGCCACTAATGTAACTGGTGCGGGGAGAGCATTGTCCTTCCCACCCCTACCCCACCTCATAAACCCCTCACCGTGGGAACCAGGCCAGCCAATCAGAACACTCCCCTTTGAAAGGCCACCCTATAAATTGAGCCTCCTCTCCCCAGACAAACCAGACCTACCATTCATAGGCCTCCCAGGGCCCCCTCCCCCTGGATAAACCAGATCAGTTGCCCCCCACCTTCCTCGAGGGTAAAAACGGGGAGTCTGCTGCCTGGAATGTTCAGGGCCAAGCTCCAAGCCTCCCGGCCCCCAGCGTAGAGCCCCAGGCCCCGGCGTGGCCACACCATGACACAGGAGTAACTCAGGAGGAGCCCCTGAGAGTTTCGAGGGGTAACCTGGGAAACCCATGGAGCAGTGAGAGCGGGTTGCTGAGCCTGCGACAGTCCAGCCAGGGGAAATGCAAGGAAAGTGACACCAGCCTGTTGAGCAGCGGGTACGCGGGTGATGAGGAGAACAGTGAGGTCAGCCTGGTGGGCAACACTCCAATCTTAAGGTTGCCGAGAAGGCTCCACACCCAGGCAGGCAGCGCCCCGAGAAGCCAGCTGTGCACCATCTACGCGCCCAGCCAGATCAGGAGCCAGGTGGCCGGCCAAGCCCGCGGCAGCAGGCAGGCTGGAGGGGAAAAGTGAGGCCAGCCTGCCCAGCAGCGGCATCAGCAGCAGGGCCAGCAGCCTGACCAGCATGAGCTTCATCAGCCTGGGCAGCAGCGCCCTGAACTACCAGGTGAGTAGCGGGCTGCTCAGCTCTGCCCACAGCCTTCCCGCCAGCCAGGCCAGCAGCTGCCCAAACATCCCGGTAGACGGTAATGTGCAAAGTGGGGTGAAAAGTAACACCAGTCTTCAGGAGGACAAGTCTGGGGACAAGGCCAAAGCCGGCGACCAGGCCGCCAAGGGGGAGCAGCCCGCCCAGATGTGCATGCCTTTATGAGTCGGCTCGCCGGCCACCAGGTTCTTGAAAAATACAGATGTAACGGCCCAGCAAACCTAGACTTCACCCAGAGTAGCTATTGCCAGAGCAAATACCTTTAAAAAAGTATACGCTGACTGTGTTGGAAACTTGGATAGCCCCATTTGTAGCAACAACCATCAGCAGCAGGGTCGTGTGTAGCGAGAACTATGGATGATGAGCACCATCTACACTGACAATCAGCAATCAACGGTGAGACCATCTCTACTGAGAACCACTGTTGAGAAGAACGGCTGTATAAAGACCCGTCGGTGCTGGGTTCACCTGCATCCACCTCCACTGGCCAAACCACTGTGAGCCCCAGTGATGAGCCAGCCCTAACAGGATCCATCACTGGCAAAACCATCTGTACTGAGAACCATCATGGTGGGGTCACCGCTGCCAAAACCCATCGGTGGGGACAGCTGTGATCAGCAGCAAATACCAACTCTATTTAGAACCATCTGAAGTTAGAACCTCCCATGGAGAAACGATGCTAAGTGATGAACACCATCTACAACCAACACCAGTCATGATAAGCTCAAAAGAAGCAAGCACCAGTCTTGGCTGGGACTGTCCACATCGAGAGCCAGCTGAAGGAAACACCATCCATGGGGGACCACAGCCCTGGGGGAGCTGGATCTCTACCAAGCTCTGTAAGATGAGCTGCCCACAAGAGCCAGCAGCATCCAGAGAGGACGCTCACGATGGCTGTGTTCAAGGAGCCCCATCCCTGAAGAGCATCCTCCAAGTGAGCTTCTCCCTTTAATTTTAAGCACTGTTGCCAGGTAGTTCCAGCCCAGAATCTTGCCAGGAGCAAACGTTCCCCGATGCCCCATCTCTGTCTCTACGTGCATCTCAGAGGAGGTAGAGACAAGGAGGCCAGAAATTGTCTTCGTTGAGATGGTAGGGACAGTGCTTCCTATGGCAAGACAATGCCATGATCAATGCTTAATGGTGACAGAAACCAAATCAGCCCAGAAGGGCTGGGATGAGACAGCTCTGCACCATTTAGTGAACGTCTCCTAGGTGGGTGGGAAGGCTGAGACCTCCATCTGCCCCTTCTCAGGACAATAAAGCCCTCCCCCGGGGGCTGACCACGCAGACCCTGGGGAGGTGTGTCCACTGAGGGGCGGAGGTCAGAACAGTCACGAAGACATCCACTAGGTTCCAGAAGGAAAGCGGAGGAGGCACCAAAGACAATAAAAGGTGTCTGGAGAGGCTGAAAGTGTGCATTTGTGTGTGTTCCCGCCGAGGTCACAGTGACAAATGCAAATACACCAAAGAACCGTGTTGAGAGGAGGGCTCAGCTGCCAATTCTGCTACCTCCAGGCTGGTGATCTGGGGCAAAATGCTTACGTTTTCTGGGCTCGGTTTCCTCATCTGGAAAATGGGAACAATAACCCCTATTTCATACATAGGTAGGATGGTTCTGTGAATTACGTGAAAATGTCTATGAATTACCTGGCAAGTAGTAGGTCCTAAATGTTTGCTTCCTCCCCTTTCCTCGCTTGTCTGTAAACGGGCAGAGTGGTTCCTGCCTTAGCTTCGCTCACAGCACACAAAGGATCATGACTGCTAACACAGACGATGTACTCTTGACCAAAAAAAAAAAAAGAAACAAACAACAACAATAACAACCCCCCCCCCAAAAAAAAAAACCCAAAAAAACAATGGAGCTATAGCATCTGCTTAGAAGTCAGGACGGATCAGCAGATGGTTTGATAGGTTTCAGGGGTGAGTGGTTCTGGGTTTGAGGGCACAGCATGTCTGGACTGGTGGGGGCCCTTCCTCTCGAGCATGAGTGCCTTTGAGTACATTCTCCCCCACTTTGTCCAGGCAAAATTGCTCAGCAGGGGCAGAGCACCCATGACCCAGGCAGACCAGAGGAGCTCCCCGCCCCCAGCCCTGCCCAAGGGAGCCCTTGTCCGCAGGTAGGCCCTGGGGGAGGGGGATCTTCTGGGGAGGCTCTGGGGCTGCTTTCCCTCCCCACACCCCCATTGCTGCCTGGCTCTCCTGTCTCAGAGGAGGACAGAGGGTACACAGAGGCAAAGTTGTAAGCACAGCAACACTAGACAACTGCACACCGGAGGCCACAGACTCCCTGGACACAGTGTGGCCAAAACGAGCTCACCCCCTTTCCTCGACCACCTCCTGCGTCCCTTCTCAGCAAATGACATCATCCCACCCCATTGTTCCAGCAGGGGCCCTTGTCACACTGGACCCTGCCCCTGCCTCAGCCCCATGTCCCATCAGTCCCTAACACCTCCCCTCCCTCACTGCTGCCCCCCTATTCCAGGCTGTCCTTTTCCCCCCAGACCAGTGGTTCCCAGCCCCCGCTGCACAGTAGAAGCACCTGGGGAACATTTACAAGATGCAGATGCCCAGGCACCAGTAGGGTTTAAAGTTCCCCGGGTGATGATCATGTTCTGCCCGGGCCAGGAAGCACCGCTGCCCTTGATCTGTTCCCCCTCAAACGCACTTTCATCCCCTGGGGTCTAAAACGGACACCCGCAGGGGCCAGAAAGCTACTACAAGGGAGTAGATATGGGGCTCGGCCCTACTGGAGGACATGCATCCCATCAAAGAAAAGCCAGAAATCCAGAATTCTATATGTAAGATCTCCTGATTTTTCAATGTGGGTCACAAATTCAAATTCTTTCCAAAAAGGGGGAGGATGGATGAAAATTTCTGAAGGCAGTCTCAGGACCACACATTCAAAGGCTTCTGCGTCTAAACAGAACGCAGTGATCTTTCTGAAACAAAAACCTGCTTATATTCCTTAACTGCTTAAAAACTTCTGAATCAGGGCGCCTGGGTGGCTCAGTCGGTAAAGTGGCTGCCTTCAGCTCAGGTCATGATCCCTGGGTCCTGGGATCGAGCCCCACGTCCGGCTCCCTGCTCAGTGGAGAGCCTGCTTCTCCCTCTCTCTCTGCCTGCCTCTCTGCCTACTTGTGCTTTCTCTCTGTGTGTCAAATAAATAAATAAAATCTTTAAAAAAAAAAAAAACTTCTGAATCTTCCCACTGTCCAAAGGATCTGACATGGTATTCAAGGCTCTTCAACAAACTGACCTAACTACGTTTTCCTCCCCTGGACTCCTGCTACTTCCTCCAAAACCTCCATATATACCACCTCAAACCTCTCATAATTCACATGCAGCAAAATGTTCCCTTTCTTGTGTACAGTTCTATGGATTTTTGACAAGCACGCACATAGATGGGTCAGGCATCCACCACCACACCCTGAATACCGAATAGTTTCATTGCGCCCCAAAAATCCCCCGTTGCCCCTTTTGGTCAGTTCCTCCCACCCCAGATCATTTCATCTGGGTGAATACCCAAGGGTGGGACCACAGGCTGGGACATGTGTTTGGCTTCATAAGAACCCGCCCAGTCACTTTCCGAAGGTGGCTTTACCTCATAGTCGCCAGCACTTTGTCTTTGTCAGAGTTTGGATTTTTCATTTCACTCTCAAAGTCTCTGATCATTGTCTTAACAGTAAGAAGTCATTTGTCTCAGTCTCCCATTATTAACTCTGTTTTACACATGGGGAAACTGAGGCACACCGAGGCCAACTCTGTGTGAGTGAGTGGTGGGGCTGGGATTTGAACCCAGGCGCTGTGGCCCCTGAGTCCATGATCTTAACCATTAACCTCTCTACCCTGCCCTCCCTGCTTTGGACATTTAGGGTCCTGACATACCCAGGCGACAGGCCGCCCCCAGACGCAGAGCCCCCAGCCAGCTAGCTGTTTCTTGTCTCGAGCCCCTTAAGTGTGGCACCTCCCACTGTATGTGTCTGCCTCCCTGAGGACAGGTGTCACTCCCCCAGCCCCCTCTGTATCTTCAATGCCACTTCCCCGTCAGTGGCAGCAATGGTTGCCGAATGAATGAATGAATGAATGAATGAGAAACAGTGAGTGAAGGATGAATAGCTGAATCAGAAGAAAGAAGATGGATCCTCCAAGGCCTGTACTCCAGCAACTACATCCCACTGTCCAAAAACAAACGTGGCTCAGGATCCGAAAATTAAATACTGTTCAGCATGCACGCCTGAGCCCCGGGCACAGCTCCACACTTCTCTCATTGTCTGCCCAGCAGATCCGTCTCGGCTCAGCTCTCTCCCACCCCAGCACAGGGGACGCAGCAAGCACTTGAAGCAAGGACCATTTTTCAAGCGGGTACGGTGATTTTTTCTTTCCTGTCCACTAGCTTGGCGTTCGGGGTGCAGCGGGGTTGGAATGATGGGTTGGCTGCAGGCACTGGCTCCTGAATTATTAACTGGGCTGGGGAGAGAGTTGCTTACAAATGCTGTCCATCCAGCAGACCAGCGGCCCACGGACTTCAAACAGGCCTGGAGCAGGGAGGCGGGAATGGGAGGGACTCGGCCGGTGGGCTCCACACTGACCAGATCTGAAGCCTCTCTTCCCGAGCGCTCCCTTGGCTTCCATCCCCTGGCCCAGAAAAAGTTTATCTTTCTCGAGTTCTTCACACCATAGTGCCTGCTCTGCAGGAGTCAAGCACCTGACCTCTCCTCTTCTGTCCACGGCAAAACCGTGGGCAAAATGGATTGAGTCTAGTGATTAAGGTTTGCTCGGAGCCAGGAGCTTGGTGGGTAAGCCAGGCTCTTGGTCTGTGGCTCACTGTGGGCAGGGAGCAGAGTAGGGTGCCTGAGGTTGGGTCTCCAAAAGCAGAGCCTGAGATGAGGGTTCTTGTAAGATTTATGGAAAGGGCTTTCCAAAGAGAAGGGGCGTAAGGGACATGGGATGGGGCTGGAGACTTGCCTCAGGTGAACCCCATGGGGAGCTCTGGAGCATCTACTGCAGCTCCTAGTGGGTCTTACCATCAATCAAAGGGAAGCAGGCCCTTTGTACCCCCACACCCCAAGCGAACATAACCAGTGGAACAGCTCCAGTCCAAACGGGCAACTCCCCAGGGAAGGGAAAGCTGTGAACCACTAGGGGCCATGTGGGGCAGGTAGTCCAAACTGATATGTGGCTCTACAGAGTGATCAGGACC